CATGCAGAACTTTCAAGGCCATGGTGAAGACTTTTGTCTTTATCCTAAGAACATGTGGAAGCTAGTAATGAACTTGGGGGTTGGGTGTGGGAAGACAGGGGAGCCATCTGCTTGGTGTTAATCATGCAGAACTTTCAAGGCCATGGTGAAGACTTTTGTCTTTATCCTAAGAACATGTGGAAACTAGTAATGAACTTGGGGGTTGGGTGTGGGAAGACAGGGGAGCCATCTGCTTGGTGTTCTAGGTTGAACTGTGTACCCTAAAAAGATATGTTGAAGTCCTAACCCCCAAGACTTCAGAAGGTGACCTTATTTAGATATAGGGTCATTGCAGATGCAATTAGTTAAGATGAGGTCATACTGGCGTAGGGTGGACCCTCAATCCAATAAGAAGAGGACACAAAGGGAGCAGATGGCCATGTCACAACAGAGACAGAGATTGGAATGATATGGCTACAAGCCAAGGAACACCAAGGGTTGCCAGCAAACACCAAAGCTAGAAGAGGCACAGAAGGATCCTCCCTAGAGCCTCCAGAGGGAGTGTGGCCCTGCCAACATCTTGATTTTGGATTTCTGGTCTCCAGAACTGTGAGATAATACATTTCTGTTTTTTTAAGCCACCCAATTTGTGGGACTTTGTTATGGCAGCCCAAGGAAATCAATACAACTGGGTTTTTAAAAGATCTGCCTGGATAGATTGGAGGGGAGCCCAAGTAGATGAGGGCTGGCCAACTAGGAGTCCACTGTAGTTGTTCCCCAAAGAGATGCTGGTGGCTTGGGTTAGGATAGTGACAGTGGGACATGAAGAGAATGAGAAGTTGAGAGATATTTAGGAAGTGATGTCTGTTGACAGAATATGGAAGCAGATCAGCTGGGCTCTTAACTAGAACATTGTACATGTTGGAAAGAGGGTCTCAGATGTGTTCAAGAGTTTTGTCCCCAATAAGACAGCCAGGAGAGTTGTCAGAGCACTCCACTAATAGCAGGCGATCAATGTGTGGGCTCTGGGTAGAAGGAGTCTGAGGAATTAGAGGCACAGTGAGGACATGGGACAGGTGGATCGATTGGGGACAGCACTAAATGTCTGAAACGGAAGTGTGGTCTGAGAGTCCAGGGCCATTGGCAGTAGCAAAGTCCAAATACAAAGCCCAACCGGGTCTGGCCAAGTTCCCTGTCCTGGGCTGTTATTCTTCCTTACTGCGGACATTGCTGATTGAGCCCATCCCCTAATCATCCTCCTCCAGGAAGCCCCCTACTAATCAAGTGGAATGAAGACACCAGATGAAATCTTATTGCAATCCCAGGACAGAGGTGGGATTCAACAGGGGCTCTGAGACTTCTCCAAATGTTTGCAGATCTGTGGTTGATCCTTGATCCTCAAAAGAACCCTAGGAAAATTGACAGAACAGATGCTTGCATTAATCCTGCTTCCTACAAGAGAAACTGAGGCCCAACGTCACGTAGCTAGAAAAGGACAGAGTTGGGCCTCAAAATAAGATCATCTGCTTTCAAATCTTCCTTTGAATTGATTCCTTTGAATTCCTTTTGTTGGAGTGAGCAAGACTGAAGCCATGTTGGGACCTGAAACTGCATGGGCTTTAGAACAAAAAAAAGGATAGTTTTGTTTTTTTTCCTTAGCATGCATTTCTCTGAATTCCCTTTTTCCCCCATGGTTATTTGATATTTTGAACCTTGGTTATGGGTGAGAATGGCATTATTTACATAAACGTAAAGCTGTCTTCCAAATAGCCTGCTGACTTGCCTCGAGACACGTACTATCCAGACCCTGAGAAACTAAGAAGACATCAATAAAGCTCTGCCGATTCCACCCCGAAGCAAATTAAAATCCTGCAGGACCCTAAGATAACATCAAGGATGTGAACAGAAGCCAGACAGAGCCTTGATGAGAATTTGCACCTGGTCTCTTACACGTAGCCCCCACAGCTCATGTCTCCCCCTCCTGCCTTCCATTCCCTCAATCTTCTCCTTAAAAACCCTTTAGTAAATCTGAGTCTTGGAGAAAGCTTTAGTCTGACCATCTCCTTCAGGTTTATTGGGGAGAGGCTTAGCTTGATGTCTCCTCAGGTCTGAACAAATTTATCTTCCTATTTCACCAACGACTTGACTTTTGGGTCATTTGTTTCTGTTCTGGCCAGACTTGGGTTTGGTAACACTTTGAATTGCTTCCTTTGAATGGATTCAAATCAATTCTTTCCTGAATTGGTGGCCAAAATAATGAAGACTACTGAACCAACATTTTTTAAATTGTTGATATATATATAACATATACATAGTATACATTACCTAAGTATACATGATATATATAACATAAAATTCATATATAAACATAACAGGAAATTTACCATGTTAATCATTCTTAAGTGTACAATTCAATGACATTAAGTTCAGAATTTTTTCATCTTCCCAAAGTGAAACTCTGTCCCCATTCCCCTCCCCCAGCCCTTGGTAACCACCATTCTCTTTTCTGTCTTTATTAATTTGACTATTCTAGGGACCTCATATTAGTGCAATCATCAGTATTTGTTCTTTTGTGTGAATCAACATTTTGACCTTCAGATGACACACGATGGAATTCAAGACATAATCTTGGATGCCTTGTTGATTCAGACAACATGTTTACTGGGTCTCTACTATCTTTATTTTCTATCAGAAAAACAGCATGAACATCTCAAGTATCTTGGTTAAACCCATATGCTATTTTCATTTAAATGGGCATCTTTTTTTAAAAAAATGTTTTTATCTCTATGGACACTTCCATGGAAAGAAACGGCTCTGTTAGTTTCTATGGCAACTTAATGTCAGAAATCTAATTCAAAACTCTTGAGACTTATTTTCAGAAACTTTTTAAAGGGCTGGGCAAGTTGATGCTAGTTGGTAATAGTGTTTTCACGTTCTTTTTGTTGTTTTTATTTATTCATTCATCAAATAACTATTGAGCACCTAACTCTTGGTCAGGCCTATTCAAGGCATTGGGGAGTAAAAATGGGCAAGACAGGGATGGTGCTAATCTGAAGTCTGGTGATTTCAAAAATGTTAGAGGTCGCCCTGAGAGAAACTTTTCACTGATGACACTAGGGGTGGAGGTAGGGGAATATATTTGGGGGCAAACAGAAGATGACCATCCAGATTGTATTACCCAGGGAAGAGTCTGAGGGCCCCCTTTAGAGTTCTTGAATCATCTACTTCTAAGCCACCATATGTTTCTGATTGCAACATGGGATCTATTTTTGCACTTTTAAGAAACGTGAGTCCAGCCTTGAAAAAGAAGAAAATTCTGTCATATGCTACGACATGGATGAGCCTTGAGGACATTATGCTAAGTGAAATAAGCCAGCCACAAAAAGACGAATACTGCATTATTCCACTTTTATGAGGGACCTAAAGTAGTCCTACTCTTAGAAACAGAAAGTTAGAATGGTGATTACCAGGGGCCAGGGGGAAGGGGAGAAAGGGAGTTGTGGTTCAGTGGACATAGAATTTCAGGTTCACAAGCTGAAAATGTTATAGAGAATCTGTTGCACAAGAAAATGCATCTAGGAGCTGGCTGGTTAGCTCAGTTGGTTATGGCATGGTGCAAATAACACCAAGGTTCAGGGTTCAATACCTGTACCAGTCAGCTACAGAAAAAAAAAGAAAGAGAGAAAAAGAATGTGTATATAGTTAATAGCATTATACTGTATGCACACCTAAACATGGTTAAGATAGTACATTTTATGTTATGTATTTTTTACTATAATAACAATAATAATAAGAGTCTAGCACAGCACTCGCCATATAAGAGCTCAATAAATGTTTCCTGAAAGTAAAAAAACAAAAAGAAATTTGAGGTCTCAAGTCCTGGCCTCATGGTATTTTTTTCTGCATACAGGTATTGTTAGTTTTGGGGTTGGGAACAATAGTTTTCTTTCCATATTTGTGCCTTCTGAGTGTGTGCAACTTAAGATATAGCTTGGAAAGGTCAAAGTCAAGACTTCTGTAGGAAAATCACCTAACGAGGCCCATCTCCTTTGCTGAACAGGTCTTGAGTATGTCTGCTCTGGATTGAGGTCAGACTTACATGAGCACAGTTCCAGAAGCTGAAAACAGACCTGCCTCAAACAACAGTCACTAACATCTGGGGAGCCTTTTCAGTTTGCAGAGGACCCTTATGTGTGTTTCTCTCATTTCAGCCACTGCCCCCTCCTTACCAGGCCTCTAGTATCTTCTCCACACTTCACCAACGGGATTTGTTTGCAGAATTGAAACCTTAGCAAAGGTTTGTTGAGGTTTGTTTTTTGAAAATTGGCTGTTCCTATCCACATTCCCTTGAGATATAAATAGAAAAAAAAAAAGAGGTTTAATTAGTAAGACAAGACATTCGAGCTACATCCACTTGATCCTTGAAAAGGAAATCTAAGAGGTTGTAACTATCACCTTTTCAGTCCTATAAAGGTAGGTCAGTCAGGCAGCAAAAGCACATTTGTTATTCCTTCCTTCAGCTCTTTTTCTTGATTCTTCCTGGGAGAAGACCTAAAACGGTGAGTAGCTAGTGGACCTACCAGACCCCAGGATCTTCTTCCCTTCAGGCATTCATATTAGGCTTGTCCATGCTGTGCTCAGATTTCTCTTTTCCCATGGCTTTGACACCTGGAAGGATTTTGATCTCTGGTGGATGGGCTTTTCATTCATCTGATTCCCACCCTTCAGGACAGATAGCATGTCTTCCGCAGAAGGTCTACGAGCAGCCCAAGCTGTATCATTTCCATGTGGAATTTGCAATGTTGCATCTCTCTGGCTGGGGGAAAGCCAGGGAAGAGAGGGCAGGTGATGATATCACAGAGCCATCAGTCTTGGCTATGTCAAAGTCTTAGACCACTTGAGCATCCCTGTAGATCAGGGATATTATGAAAGTTTTTTTAATAACCTGTGTTTCATCACCTTGGCCCAAATATAGAATGTGATCCAATGAGTGTCAGAATAATCCATTCTCTGTTCTTCAGACCCAGATACTTTTGAACCCCAAAAATTCTTCCAGACATCAGGCCTCTCCAAGATGTCAGCCAGCCAGGTAAAGGACGTTTTCCGATTCATAGACAATGACCAGAGTGGATACCTGGATGAAGAAGAGCTTAAGTAAGCTTTGTCCTGAGCCTGTCTGGCAACCCTGCCATTGCTGGGTGGGGTTGGGGTGCAGCAGGGGCCAGTTTGCTCAATATTTCTTCAATGACCAGCCTTGGTGTTGGTTATTTGGCCGAGCCTCATTACAGTAAAGAACATGAGTCAGTTGGCCACGCATCTATCTATGCAAAGCACTAAACATGGGCAAGGAAGATTATACGTACAAAGATTCACTAGTTTAAGGGATTTCCTTTGACAAACGGACTCAACAAAACTCTTTAAAAACTTTAGAAACAAAATGTCCACCATTGGTTTCTACAGCAAAGCAAGTCTTTGCTTGCCAAGACCTTGACTGATTATTGCAACTGCTGGAAACAGATAGTTTGTGTAAAGAAAATAAAAAGGGGTGGGGGTAAACACAGAGATACAGGCAGGGTCTTTCAGAAAATTCCCATCAATCTTTATTATCCTGCAGGTTTTTCCTCCAGAAGTTTGAGAGTGGTGCTAGAGAACTGACCGAGTCAGAAACCAAGTCCTTGATGGCTGCTGCAGATAATGATGGAGATGGAAAAATTGGAGCAGATGGTATGTCCACACCTGTACACAGCATTAACACTTTAGCCCAGGGAGCTTCCATCAGGGCTTGGGCTGTGAGATCAGACAGATGTGGGTTAAAATCCCCATTTCTTAACCTTACTGAGCTCCAGTCTTCTCACCTGTAAAATGGGACTAAAGTGAGGATGCGGATGTTGTGTGTAAAAACTCTGACATGATGCCTGGAATGTACCATAGAAGCTGGTCCCGCTGGTCATTGTCTATCAACTAGAGAATAACCTTCACCTGATTAAGGGACTAGTTAGTTGCCTGGCCAGTTATTTGCAAGATGCTCTAACACACCTTGAAAATAATGCAAGGAATTTCCACCAGTGCGATTTGAACCCCTCTGAATAAGGGAAAGATTGACATTCTCAAGTGTGTCTCATACCAAAGAGTTTATTGGCTTGTGTAGGGGGCTTCTTAGCTTTCAATGGTTTAAACAAATATGCTTTATTGGACATTAGCCCACCAAATGGACAATATTAAACAGAGAACAAATAAGTCAACCACTATTTATGGAGTCCTCTATGTGCAGAGCCCTAGATTCAAATTTTAGCATAATAGCACAGCTGTAGGATTATTTTCACTTGATTTTGTCATGTTGCTTACATGCTTTTCAGCTACTTTGTGCCTGCCAACTCAGGAGAACATATGGTGGTCCTTCTGGTGGTGAGAATTTGAAATTTAAAAATGCTACCTTGGATCCTTACTTTTAAAACCTATTCAAAATGATACCACCACAGCTTACTATACAGGAGTTAATATAGCTTCTATAGATAGCTCTGAAAAATAGCTTAGGCAAGGGAAGATCGATTTATTTAAACAAAACCATGAAAGACTTCCAAACAGACAAAGCTTACCCATAAATATAAAGCCAAACTCCAGTTTTCAATTTCAACCTGTAGCCTCCTTATCTTATAATTATTACTACCTTTCTTTTAGTGATATAAACTTTGGGGGGTAAGGTTTAGGGTTCAATAGAGGAGAATTAGTTCAAAATATCACCCTATTAAATATTTCCTAAAAATGCAATACAGCTACAGAAAAGAGGAAGAAAACCTCTCATTTCTGTCTTAAATTGACCAGACAATTTAAACCAGTGTTTAAAACTTCACACTTTTTACTCTGCACCCAAAAAGTTAAATGTTCACAGATTATATACTGAATTCATTGATTGTCAGAGAGAAATGATTGGGTTGACAGGTTCTAATACAAGCTTTGCTCTGTTGCAAAGCTGAAGATGTTCATGAGAGATTGTGCAGAGAGATGGGGCACTGTAGACTCCTTTGATCTATAGTCATTAACACCCAGATTTTTCTTCCTTTTGTGCCCCCCTGAGGGGGTCATGCCCATCATCTGACAATTGGCTTCTTTTCCTTCCTTCTTCAGAATTCTCACTGGCAACAGCATGTCTGTGAAGTAGGGAGCCCTTTCCACTGACCCTGTTCTCACTTCTTCTGTTCTAGAATTCCAGGAAATGGTGCATTCTTAAAGGCGCCAGTCTATGGAGAAAAGAGAGGAAGGGACAATCATCTGGAAGGCCTCCAAAGCCCCAGGAATGGGAAACTCCACACCCTACCCATAACTTATTTAATTCCCCCTGAAAGGCTTCCGCAATGTGCTCGTTGTTTTAGTGAGGTGATAAAACAGTCATTCGTGACTTTTTGGTGGTGGGTATGCCCTGATGACTTCTGTAAGGTTCTCCGCAGGCAATGCCTTTTAAAATCACCCAATAAAGACACATTTCTCATCATCTGCTGATGTGTGGGTGTGTTTTTTTCTCAGCAAGATAAAGAGATGAAAGCAAGCTGAGGACTGAGGGCTTTTCAAAACATTCCCAGTCCCATCAGGCGCAGAGCAAGCCCCTGGTGGTGTGCATAAGCAAACAGGGAAACCAGGTTTTGGTTTTTGTTTTTAAAGTCACAAATAAATGGCATTGTCATGCTGGGATTTTTTTTGACTTCAAAATTAATATGAAGAGATTTTAGCCAGCACAAAACCACTTTTACTGATGTGTTTTCTGCTACTGGGTGTTAGATTGCCCCAGGAGAGATTTAAGTAAAAGCAAGCAGCACTAAACAGAACAAAGTGTGTGGCCATCATGGGCTATAAAGCGCAGGAGCCCTGCTGTGCTGCTTTAGCACAAACAAATCCATCTTCAAGGTTTTTTTTCTTAGAAAACAAGCTTTCAGAGACTTGTCTGCTCTCACCCAACTTTCTGCCACCTCTCTCTTGTCTTTCTCAGCCACTGTTTTCCTGGCTCTTATGTGATATCACCTGAGCCAATTACACCTAGAATTGCCTTAACATTTGAGGCTAGCCTCAGGGGTCCTGTTACAAGCTTGTCATTAGGGTTGGGCAGTCTCAAGCCAGGAAATTCTCATTAGGCTAGTTTCCAGGTGGCACATGAAAGCTATTCTCTGGCTGACCCTGAGAGCTGAGGACTCCTGGGAGTAACTGAGGATTCTCCTGTTTAAAACTTCACACTTTTTACTCTGCACCCAAGCTCACCATGTCCTGGGACTCTACCAGCTTGCTTCCATCACACAAAACAGTGGAGCGACTTTTGAGTCTCTGGTTTTTGAAGGGTCATGTTAAAAGCAGTTTTTCAAAGTGCAGGACACATATTAGAAGGGGGCCTCAAGATAACTTCATGGGGGATATGGGTCAACATTTTAAATTTTAATACCCATGTCTTTATTTTAATGTGCATTAGAAAAAAAAAACTAGCACAAACGTGATTTCAGTATGACTGCTTAGAACAAGACTAAAGGGGTATCAGGTTTTTTGAAAGTGTATCAAACTGAAGAATATCAAGTAATGTTAGATATGGTATCTAGATTGACAAAACCCATAAAGGTAGTTTTCAAATGAGTCAAAATTGGGAGATACAGCTTTAAAATGAAGAACTCTTTGAGGAGAGTCAAAGAACAAAACTGTCTAATTTCACAGCAGTCCCTCTTGTCCCCTGTCCCTGCACACACCTGCACTCCCATTTTCTACCTTTCTGGCAGGAATCAGGCTAGTTCCTCTCCACTACTAGCTTCCCTAGGTGTGTGAAAATGCCTCCCAGATGCATTTGCGAATTCCTCAAAATGTAGACAGGAAGAGAACCTTCCTTGCCCATTCATACCAATGACCTAAGATACTTGATTCTTAAAACAATCCTCATTCTGGGCCGGCCCGGTGGCGCACTGGAGAGTGCGCCACTTGGGAGCGCGGCGGCGCTCCTGCCGAGGGTTCGGATCCCATGTGGAGACCTGTTCCCGCTCACT